AGTCTGAGGTGTGTGTCAGTATATTCACTCTGGAGTCATAGGGTGGTGCAAATGCTTCATACATTTCACTGCCAACTAAAAGGTTTGGATGCCTCAGAAGAAAGACCTGGTGACCTACTTAATTAAAAACCTTGTGGAGCACAACTCTACTCTGATTCAGTGACAACTGTTTCACTCAAATTCACTACAGCCATTATTGTGTGGAGAGAAAATCATGTTCAAAGCTCTACTAGAAGCTGCAGTCCTGGTAAAGATGATGGTGGCTTGGACGAGGATGCTGGTGGTAGAGAAGGAAAGTGGTGGATAAACGCAAGGGGCCTTTCCCAAAGACAAAATCACAAGACTAGGAGACTGAGATTGTTCACAGCTTTAGTTTGCTTTGCTCCACAGTCAACACTCTTGGCACGAGTAGCCAGGAAATTAAAAGACGCATTGCAGTGGGAAAGTCTGCTGTTAGGGACCTCTCTAAAGTACTGAAGAGCAATGATGTCACTCTGGAGACTAAGATGTGTCTGATACCGGCCATGGTCTTTGCAATCACTTGTTATGCATCACAGAGTTGGATAATGACTAGGGAGGATAGAAGGAGAATTGATGCCTTTGGGCTGTGGTGCTGGAGAAGAGTATTGAATGTACCATGGACTGCTAGGAAAACAAACAGATTCATCCTAGAAAGGGTCAAACTGGGTGGCTCCCTGAAGGCAAGGATTCTGAGGCTCTGTCGAACATACTTTGACATGTTGTAAGGAGGGACCAGTCCTTGGAGAGGGACACCATGCTTGGGAGGGTGGAGGGACAGCGCAGGAGGGGAAGGCCCTCTATGAGGTGGATTGATTCCGTAACTGGGGTAATGGGGATGGGAGTGTCAGAGACAGTGTGATTGGCACAGGATAGAGCAGGGTTTAGGGGCAACAACAACAAGAGATTAATTTGGTACGAAGGCTTGTGAGATATGCACCAGGGCTGGCTCTAGGGGTTGGGGTCTGCACATATGGAAAGCTGAGGGTGCTCTCCATGTGGATTTCCTAGGGTGCTCCTCTGGAGATCAGGCACTGCGAACACAGAGGGATGCAGTTCGAATGCATCAATCTCCTGCAGTGAGATTTACAGCCTCTGAAAACCCATTAGATCCACTAGAGAATTGGTCATGACTCCACAACACTCAATAACAATAACCACTGAAGTCAGAGAAGGAGGAATTTGGAAAGGTCCAATCCCTTCATTTTGCAAAGGAAATAGCTAAAGCTTGAAGTATTATAGGCCTCAGAAAAGGATGGAGCCAGAGCCTGAATCTTTAGACTCCATTCAGAGTTAGGGGAGGGTTAGGTTTGTTTTTGGTTTTGGTTTTGGGTTTTTTGGGGGGAGGGAGGTTATGGAAAGAATTCCATGTAGGACCTGCACTCCGACTCAATAAGGGAATTTGGGCTGGTCACCTCTCTCAAGGTCTCAGTTTCTTCTCCTGTGAAATGGAAATATATGTCCACTTCCCCGATTCTCAAGGGTGATTGATGATGATTATGGAATCACTAATTGCAAAGTCTTTCAAAGAAACAGTACCCTGATTACCTGTGGCAATTGGATTGCAAAATGTCATAGTTTCCTAATGCTGTTACATAATTACCACAAGTGTCTGGCTTTGTTGTTATGTGCCATCAAGACCCTATGAACAACAAATCTGAATCTTATCCTATGTTATCCTCATCATCGCTGATATATGTGAGTACATTGTTACTGTCACTTTGTAGATGATCTTCCTCTCTTACATGGACCCTCTACATTTCCAAGCTTGACATTCTTTTCCAAGGATGGGTCTCTCCTAATAACATCCCCACAGTATATAAAACAAAGCTTCACCATCCGTGCCTCCAAAGAGCACTTTTTCCAAAAAATATCTGTTTGTTCTTTTGGGAGTCTGTGGGATGTTCAGTGCTCATCTCTAACATCACAACTCAAAGGCATCAATTCTTCTGTCATCCTTGTTCATAGTACAGCTCTCAGATGCATAACAAGTGATTGAAAAGACAATAACCTGAAGGGAAGTGGGAGACAATAGCCTGAATAAGACACACCTTAGTCTTCACATTGACATCATTCTTCAGTAATTTGGAGAGGTCTCTGACAGCAAATTTTCCCAATGCATTACATCTTCTGACTGCTAGGACCAAGGGAGTTGACTGTGGATCCAAGTAGGATGAAATTATTGACAATGTCAATCTTTTCTCCATCTATCATTATGTTGTTTATCAATCCAGTGGTGAGGATTCTTCTTCTTGATGTCGAGATGCAATATATATTGAACACTGTAGTCCTCAATCTCCTGTGGCTTGCTAGTCAGTCTTTCTCACTCTCAGTAAACCAGGTTGTGCCATCTGCATAATGCAGGTTATTGTTGAGTCTTCTCTGATCCTGATGTCACATTCTTTTTTTTTTTTTAAGAGAGAAATTGGAAGGTACTTTTTTTTTAGGATTATTTTTTATTAATTTCAATGAACATTTACAAAGGTTTTGTATTTCCATTCATTCATTGTTGCACTTTTCTCCCCTCCATCTCAAGCCCCAGTTCACTCTTCTCCTTAAAAAGCAAAAGAAAAACTCCTTCATTGGTATACAATCCCCCTGCATCCCCCCCACCCCCATCTCGAGTATACTTCACTCTGCAACCCTCATTTGAAACGCTTATGATAATCATAATGCCCTAAAATATATTACTTTTAAACTGTTCTCTCCCTCATTGGCTTCAATGCAGTATACATCATTTATCTAGTTTTTCTCAGTCTTACCCCCACCCTGATGTCAGACTCATTCTACAACAGTGGCACCATACACTATTTGTCCTTCTGTGACTGAGATACTTCACTCAGCATAATGTCCTCCAGGGTCACCCATTTTGAATAATATTGCATGAGTTCCTTGTTTTTCAATGCAGTGTAATAGTCCATTGTGAATATACCACTCTCTCTCCATTAGTTTGTTGATGGGCACTTAGGTTGTTTCCAACTCCTTGCTATTGAGAACAAAGCCACAATAAACATGGGTGTGCATGTATCTGCTTGGATGTTGTTTATGGTCTGTTTAGGGTTTATTTCCAGTAGTGGAATTGCTGGGTCAAATGGTATCTCTATTTGCAACTTTTTGAGAAAGCACCACACCTCTTTCCACAGTGATTGTACCATTTTACATTCCCACCAACAATGAATAAAGGTTGTAGTTTCTCCGCAACCTCGCCAGCATTTGTTGCTTGCTGTTCTGTTATTTTTTTTTTTTTAGTTCAGGTTCTTTTATTTTTTGTTCAGTATACAGATCAAATAGGTATGGGAAAAGGATACAACCCTGACACACTTCCTGATTTTAAACCATGTTCCCTTGTTTTGTTCAGACAACAGCTTCTTGGTCCAGGTATTGTTGTTTTTGTTGTTATGTGCCGTCGAGTCGTTTGCGACTCATAGCGACCCTATGTACAACAGCCCTAAACCCCGCTCTATCCTGTGCATAGGTTTCATAAGAATATAAGTGTTCTTGGATTCCCATCCTTCTCAATATTAGCCAAGGTTTGTTATGATTCACACAGTGAAATGCTTTTGCAGTCAATAGAACACAAACATTCTTCTGATATTTTCTGCTTTCATCCAAGATCCATCAGACATCAGTTATGATATCCCTGGTGCCATCTGGTAATTATATCAAGGTACTATTCTAGCCAATTTTTTTACACTCTTCAGCAATATTTTGCTTATATATTAATGATATTTCCATAATATCCACATTCTATTAGGTTGTCTTTCTTGGAAATGCAAACAAATATGGATGTCTTCATAGGCAGCTGTCCTCCAAATATCTTGGCATAGACTGGCTGCATATGTTATTTGAAATATGTCAATTGGTATTCCAACAATTTCTAGGGCCATGTTTTTGCCAGTGCCTTCAATATAGCTTGAACTTTCATTACTACTGGTTCTTGTTAATATGCTACTTCCTGAAATATTTCATTGTTAACCAATTCTTGATAGAGTGAGTGTATGTATTCCTTACATTTTATTTTGATGCTTTCTGGATCATTCAAGATTTCGTCCATAGCATGTCACAGTATTTCAACTTGAGGCTTGAATTTGTTTTTCAATTCAACTTTAGAAATGCTGAGTGAGTTCTTCCCCTTTTATACTCCAGTTCCAGTCCTCTACACATTCTCTTATAATACTTTGTTTTGTCTTCTCAAGCTGCCCTTTGAAATCTTCTGTTCAGCTCTTTTATTTTATACCTTTGTTTTGGCTTCTTGGTGCTCTAATGCACATTTCGGAGTCTCTTCTGACATACATCTTGCTCTTTGTTTCCTCTTCTGTCTTTGTAATGAATTTTCACTTTCTTCATGGATTATATTTTTTTATTTCAGCCCATAACTCATTTGCAGTCAGGAACCTCGCCAAAGTGCTGAGGAGCAAGGATGTCAGTGTAAAGACTAAGGTGAGCCTGATGCATGCCACGGTCTTTTCAATTACCTAATAAGCAACTGAGAGTTGGACAATGAGTAAAGAGGACAGAAGAATTGATGCCTTTGAGTTGTTGTGCTGGTGAAAGGCACTAAATACATCATGGATCGCCACGACAACAAATGAATATGTCTTGGAGAGAGTGTTTATGCTGTGGGCCTGAATGTTCCTTAAAGTAAAGAATGGTGAAACTTCATCTTTGGGTGTATTATTAGAAGGTGTTAGTAATTGGAGGAAAACCTCAAGTTCAGAAGAGTTGTAGGGTCATCAAAGGAGTTGGAGACCCTCAATGAGATGTATTGGCACAGTGATTGTGACAATGGGCTCTAGTGAGGCAGAGATGATGGATAGGGCAGGGTTCAGATCAGATCTTCATAGGATTGCTACATGGTGGAGGGAACCTAACAAGAACACTCACATTGGGAGGAAAGCATAATCCAATCTGTATCAGGATGTCTGTGCTTATTTCTCGCCTTTTTATCTCTTGCAGGTTCTGAGAGCTGAGGAGCCAGCAGAATGCCTGGCCTACTGAACCAGGCCACAGGGGCAGCCTTGCCCCTCACTGCATCCAGTGTCACTTCCTTTGTCAGTGGTTATGCTCTGGGCCTGACTGCCTCCCTCACCTATGGCAACCTGGAATCCCAACCCTTCCAGGGTAAGAACCCCTGTTGGGCCATCCCCAGGGTTACTCTATCCTCCAGACTAAATCTGTCCTCCCACCTTGGCTGCTTGACACTCTAACCTCTGAGTCTCAGTTTCTTCATCTGTAAAACGAGAATGATGTTTCTGCCCTGTGCATCTCAAAAGTTCATAACAAGTAAGGTTAAGATTTGAACCCAAGCTTGGGCTCAGCCCCAGTTCTTCATTCCAGAGCTTTCCATCTTTCATAAGGCAGACCCTTGTGTTAAATGGTTTGCCTGAACCTCCTTCAAGGACCCTCCCAATAATAGAGGCATGAAGAGTACACACACACACACACACACACACACACACACACACACACACACACGTGTTCTTGGTGCATCTCAGGCTGTATCCCTGGGGAAACTGCTGTGTAGCAAAATCAGCATGCTCTTCTCTGCCTGTCCCACCTGGGGCTGTGGCAGGCAGATGAGGTAATGCATGAAGCAGGACAGAATGGACCAGAAAGGAGTCTGCAAACACAAATCATCTGTGTGGATGGGTGTTTGTTCAGTCATGTGTAATTCAAAGTCCTCTCTTCATAGTTTAGAAGGGAATTACAGGGAGGCCTCTCCTAAGAAGGCGAGTGTAAAGATTCTGTAGGTAGATCACCTTTCTCAATGCAGTGACAAATGTCTTTAAGACAACTCTCCAGCCCACCTCAATGTTCTGAAGCCCTCCCCAATACCCAGGGGAACAACACTGCCCCAAAAGGTCCTGCAGGGAAACTTCTTTCCCCTCAGAAACCTTCTGAGCGGGCTTTAAAGCCCTGTTGGGGAACACTGGGGAGAAAAACATCGGTGGATTTGTGGTAGAATTCTTGCCTTTCATGAAGGATAATCCCGTTCAACCCAAACCAATGTCATACCTGGCCATTACTCATCTCTCAGTTGAGGTCTGTGTGTTACTATGATGCTGAAACAGCTTTCAGACTGAGAGGAGTAGGAGAGAAAGCCTCCAATGCTACTTCCAAAAATCAGTCAGTGCAAGTCCCATGAGTCACAACAATCTAAACAAGGTGGTGTGTGATTCCTTTGTACAGGAGATAATTAAGAGCTGGGGACTGACATGATGGCAGCCACTAGCAACAGGGAGCCTGGCTTAGAACAGGCCACATTTGTAAGCCAAGGGGGGTTGAATTACTGCACAACTATGAGACAGTCATTTGGCTTTCCACAAACAGAAATAATCTGTTGTCCCATTTCATAGAGGAGGAAACTGATGCTCAATGAAAGAGGAAGGCAGGGTTTGTGGAGAGCTCACCCAGGCCTAGCATCACTGTGTTGCCCCAATGTTATCAGGCAGATTAAATGAGGTAAGAGTGTACTACTCTGAGTGAAGCCTCCGAGTCATGCCACTGCTCCATAATTGCTTAGAAATGCAGAGTCTCAGGCCCTGCCTGAGCTCCTCAGTCAGAACCTGTAGGTGATTTGTGTGCACACCTGAGTATATTCGTGTGAATAACTGCTGAAATATAAGAGTGACACATATCACATGGCACAGAGCTCACTAAATGGTAGCAATCTTTCACTACTCTCAACAGCCCTAAATTTGGTTTTATTATCCTCACCTTAGGACTTAGAGGCTTAGAGAAAATAAGTATCTTATCCAAGTTGGTAAATAAGACAGGGTCTGGACTAGAACCCGAGTATCCCTCCTCCCATACCCTAACTCCTCAGCATCCCTGGTGGCAAATTCATGGTCATTGACCAACTGCATTGCAGGGATGTGCTTTATTAGAACTGCACATGGAAGTTAAATAAAACTTAGATTTCCAATTTTTCTTGCAAAATCAGAAGTTCTAAGCTATGTAGGACTCACATACCTGCAAAGTAAGCGTTAAGGAGCTTAGGAGAAGCTGTGAATCTTCCATTTGACCAACTGCACCCACATACCGGCTGTTTCACTTACCGAGTTGGCCCAGGTGAAGCCATTGGAGGCCCCAGGCCAGGTCCCTGCAGGGCCCTTTCTGACAGCATGAGCATCTTCCTGCATGCCAAATATAGAGGGCGGGGCATGCAAGGTGAGGCTGGGACATGTCACAATTTTGGACCTGCTTTTGCAGGCCTCTTCTTGTACCCCCTGGATGAGTACACCACAGTGATCGGCTTTGAGGCAGTGATCGACAAGCGAACCGTGACGGTACAGATCAAAGATAAAGCCAAGCTGGAGAGTGGTCAACTCAACGCCAGCTGTACCCGATCCCCAACAGTCACAGGTAAGGAGGCCAGAAGAGACCACGGCAGGGCCTGGATTGCCTTGAGGCTGCCTGGGCTGGAATGTCAGGCAAGGGCAACCTAGAAACTGTAGAGAGAGCACTGCGCAAAGAGCCAGGAATCCTGTGTGTCCTTAGGCCAGTAATCAACTCCTCTGAACCTCAAGTTCACTTCTCTGTATGTAACAGAGGTAACTATTTCTGTTCTTACCCTAAGCGTGTAATGAGGGTCAGACGAGCCTCCAAAAGCTTTGTGCAGATATCCCTGCAGAGCCAAAGAGTGTATCATTCAAGCTCAGAGGCTGTGAAATGACTTACACTCCTTATCCTGTTGCTTACTCGTCATGTGAGCTTACACAGAAAATAAACCCTATCTGTAAAATAGAACTAATAATGATAGCCACCTGATGATCAATGGAAAAAATTCAAGACAAGTACCCATCACAGTCCCTGGAATGAAAAAGTACTCAAAGAGCTGCTGAGGACAGCGAGGCTCATTCCCAGAGGGTCAGTAAGTAACTGGATCGAGGTCACACATCATGTATGTCACTGTTGGAGGCAGGATTTGAGCCCAGAACAAGTGTGACACAGTACGTGATTCTTACCTTTGGATCTATGACCAAGGTCAAGTTTTTCATCTGAAAGGTATTTTAACGAACACTTTCCATGTATGATGTCAAAGTTGCTTCTCGAGTCATTACAACCCCTCAGAGCCTGGAAGAATAGCAACCATGTGTCTTGGATAATCATAATAGGAAATAGATCTAGGCAGGAGAGGTCTGACTATGTAAGGAGAGGGAGAAAGGAGCCCAGGCAGAGCACAAGAGAAGTTTTCAGGGGATGAATGCGTAAGATTGATTCAGGAGGAATGAGGGGCTGGTCTTTCAGATAAAAGGAAAACATCTGAACAAAAGCTTGGATCGCAAGTGTCAGGGGATGTTCAAGTTTGGGTTTTGGGGAGGAGTAGAGTCAGTTAGGATAGAGACTGAACCTTCTTCTAGGTGTTTTTATGTAAGCCAAAATCTCTCATCCACAGCAAAATAAACAGCAAAGTACACAGGCCTGGACCAGGTCCCTGTGGATCCAGACCCTGATTCAACCCTTTCATTATGCTGCAACTTGGAAAATTCGAACCCCTAGAGTTATCCTTCTTTCCTGTCAGCAGAAAAGAGTTTTTCAAATTACCACACAGCGATCTTAGAGAGCACTAGCAATAACGTATGCACAGTCCCAGACGCCAGGCCCAGCTCCCAGGAAGCCCGCTTCCAGAAGATGCTTCCATTGCCCTTTGTTCCTGCATCAGGAAAGGTGGCCTTAGATGAGGACCTGGAACGGATCCTGTTCGTGGTCAACCTGGGGACCATCGGCCCCATGGAGAACGTGACCATCCTCCTGAGCACCTCGTCTGAGCTCCCAACTCTGCCCAGCGGGGCTGTGCGGGTCCTGCTGCCTGCTATCTGTGCTCCAACGGTGCCCCAGTTCTGCAAGGAGTATGCTGGCCCTTTGACCCAACATCCCGAAAGGTAAGAAGCTGCTGTCCAGGCAAGAGCCAGCTTCCTGAATAGGCAACACAGTTCGCTGGGGAAGCCAGGGCTGTGCATGGTCGAGGGGATAGGAAGGTGGGAGGTGAGGCTCGGCCCCACAGTTGTCACCATCGGGGTACCAGTTCCTCTCCTGCTTTCTTAGAACACATAGCAATCCCCTTGGCCTGTCCCAGAAGTTCTGGGATTTGGACCATTTTGGATTAGGGTATCCAAAATGTATTACCTCGTTCACTCAAGAACTGTTTTCTGAGTCTATCTGTGGGCTAGGGAGCTCTGATGACTTAGTGGTGAAGAGTTATGTTGCCAACCCAAAGGTAGGTGGTTCAACTCCACCATCTGCTCCACAGGCAAAGGTGGACATTCCTCTCCCACGCAGTTCATTTACAGCCTCTGAAAACCACTGGATGGTCAGCTATGCGTCGGTTCCAACTTGATGGCACATAACAACAATATGTCAGCTAGGCATTAGGGATACAGAGAGAATAAATTCATGGTTCTTGCTCTTTTAAAAACTTGAGGGGAGAGATCATTATCCGATTAATAGCACAAGTACTATGTAGCTCATTGTTGACATTCTTGCATGTATCATAAAGTTCAGTGAAGAAGCTTATTAGTCTAAGAGTATAAAAAGGGTCCAGAGGAAGGTAAGGGTCCTGTGAAGATGTGATGGTTTAGGTGAGGCCTCACCGGTGAGAAGGATGTATGTGTAGAGGAGTATTTCCATATGTGAGAGTAGCGGGGACAAAGGCCTTGAGGTTACAAGGACTGGTAGCAAAAACAGGACCTGAAGTATTGGGGGGTAGCATTTGTAGGAGGAAAACTACTACAGAGATGAGGATATAGCAAAGGAAATGCCCAATTAAAAGCCACACTGAGCTATAGGTAGGAGCAGCCAGTCAGGATAGACTGTACTTCCTGATGAGGAGGAAAGGAAAAAGCACCTACAACCGACCAAACCTGAGGAGGCAAGAGACTGAGTTGTTGTTGTTGTTGTGTGCCATCGAGTCAGAACTGACTCATAGCTGATTCTCCCACAGGTTTTCAGAGGCAGTAAATCTCACAAGGATTGATAGCCCATCTATCTCCTGCATAGCCGCTGGTAGATTTGAACAGTGTACCTTTGGGCTGGAAATACAGTTCTTTCCCACAAGACCACCAGAGCGTCCCTTGAGAGGTTGAGGGGGTGCCATTTTTAATTAGTTTGCTGCATACAGGAGATTTCACTAGAAGCCTTGAGTTTATTCACTGAAGACATATACCTTTTTTAAATCTAATCCATTTTAGTAAAAAAATAACAATTTAAGTTGATTACCAGCTAAACTACTCAACCCCTCACCCCAACTCTCACCACAAACCTTTAAGCCAAGTTGATCTTCAGGAAGTTGTGCCATAGTAATCATATAGTTACCAGTCCCAGGGCTCTGAGATGAGTGGGGACGTGTGCTCATTGGGCTGAAGGGACAGGGACATAGAAGACACTGTCAGGATAGAGGGCTAACCTATTAGAATGCTAAGAGGGACAAGAGCCTCCCTCAGCGGTCAGCCTGGAAAGTGCTCCTCAATCACTCCACCAATAGACATTAGACACCTACTGTATGCCAGGCAGGGACCTCTGTTGCTCACCCAAAGGCTGCTCCTCTCTAGCGGTTCTAATCCACTAGCAGCTCCATGGAAGAAAGATGAGCAAGCTCCTTTCATGCAGTTTACATCCTTGGAAATCTCCTGGAGAGGCAGCTGTGAGTCAGTTCTGACTCGACAGCAATGAGTTTGAGGATTTTTTGGTTGGGTTTGTTCGGGGTTTTTTTTTTTAATATACCAGTCACTGTTCTGAGTGGGGGGGATACAGCAGTAAACCAGACAAAGCCCCTGCCCTAGTGGGGCTAACATTCAAATAGAGGGAGAGAGAGAGAAGACTCAGACAATAATTAAACCCGTAAGCATGTGGCATTTCCGATGACAAGTTCTATAAAGATAGGTGATATGGGGATAGAGAGAGACAAGACGGAATCGGGGCTATTTTAGACAGAAGTTAGGCAATATTTGAGTTAGGCCAAAATGAAAGGGGCTGGTCGTGGAAGTACCTGGAGAAAAGCATTCTGGGTAGAGGGAGGAGCATATGCAAAGGCCCTGAGGCAGAAGGCTTATCTCACAGAGTAACTGAGAGATAAGAGAGGTTGTTGTTGTTGTTGTTATGTGTCATGGAGTCGCTTGTGACTCTTAGTGACCCTATGTACAACAGCCCTAAACCCTGTTCTATCCTGTGCCAATCTCACTGCCTCTGACACACCCATCCCAATTACCCCAGTCACTGAGTCAATCCACCTCATAGAGGGTCTTCCCCTCTTGCGCTGCCCCTCCACCCTCCCTAGCATGATGTCCCTCCCCTCTTGAGCTGTCATTCCACCCTCACAAGCATGATGTATAAAAGAGATTGTTGTTGTTGTTATGTGCCGTTGAGCCGTTTGCGACTCATAGCGACCCTATGTACTACAGCCCTAAACCCTGTGCCAATCGCACTGACTCTGACACCCCCATCCCAATTACCGCAGTCATTGAATCAATCCATCTCATAGAGGGTCTTCCCCTCTTGTGCCTTCCCTCCACCCTCCCAAGCATGATGTCCCTCTCCAAGGACCTGTCCCTCCTTGCAACATGCCCAAAGAGAGATTACACAGGTGAATGGGGAGCTTTGAAGGCTCAGTGAGAACATTGTAGGCACAGCAGAGAGATGTTGGTCTAGCCTATATTCCAGTCTCAGATGAGGGAATACCAATGTTATGTCCTTGAAGTACTATGCTAGGTGCCCAGCCTTGTGTGTTGAAGAGTCAAGATTGAGTGGGACTGGGGATATTCAGGACCTCAGTGGGTCAAAGAATGAAAGAGGTTCAGCAGGCCCTACTGCCGCTACACTGATTCAGAGAGGCTCACTCTCTACTATTCCAGCAGATCAAGTTAGTAGTGATGCTCTCTACTAAGTCCCTAAGGACCTTAAGATAGCTCCAACAGAAAAAAGAATAAGTGGATAATACCAAATGTTAGCAAAGACATGTGGGTGTAAGGTGCCTTCGAGTCAAGTACTACTCATAAGAACCCTATAAACAATAGATCTGAATCCTGTCCTATCTTGTTCACTGCTTGTCAAAGTGGATTCTGAGACAGACAACAGGCGAGCAATCCGGTAAAGTGCCCTTTGCCCTGATAAAATGGCTGTAGAGCTGTTGTTGTTGTTATGTGCCATCGAGTCGCTTGCAACTCATAGAGACCCTATGTACAAGAGCCCTAAACCCTGTTCTATCCTATGCTAACCTCACCGTCTCTGACACACTTTACTTCCACCACCCCAATCACAGAATTGATGCATCTTTTTTTAAATAAAATTTTAATTTTATTGTGATTTTAACAAATGTTTACAGAAAAGTTATATTTTCTTTTTCTTTTTTTTTTTTTACTGGTTTCATTCACTCATTCATTCATTGCTGCACGTTTCTACCCCCTCTCCTTCCCTTCCCCCTCATCAAGTTCACTTTTTTAAAAAAATATGCATTCTTTGTTGCACAATTACTTCCCTCCTTCCATCTTGTTCAGATAGAAAATAGACCTAGACTCCCTAGGGGTTCATTTGGAAGACAACACAAACATTATCACACAGTAGATTATAGTCCAACTAGTTATTCTTTGCTTTCCTCTAATAGTTGTTATGGTGGAGTGTCTGATACAATCCATTATACAGTGTTTAGTAACAATGTGGAGGATTGGACTCAAATAGAAGCTTAGAAGAAGAAAGGCCGGGCTGCCACAATGGGCTCTTTTGTGTCAGGAAGTGTGAAGACGGCACAGGATAGAATAGGGTTCAGATCTTCTGTTCAAAAGGTCACTATGAGTTGTACTCAACTCAATGGCACCTAACAACAACAGTGTCAGCACAGCATGTGACATGAAGAAATAAACCCATCCTTGTAGCACTATGTTGTTAGTTGCTCTATCTTCAATTCTAAGTCATCCTATGTCCATATGTGCAGAATATAACTGCCCCATAGAATTTTCAAGAATCGATCCATCTTATCTAGGGTCTTCCCCTCCTGCACTTTCCCTCCACTCTCCCAAACATGATGTCCCTTTCCAAGGACCAGTCCCTCCTTGCAAAATGCCCCAAGTATGCCAGATGAAGCTTCAGAATCCTTGACTCCAAGGAGCAGCCCAGCTTCACCCTCTCCAGGATACAGATAAAAATCTTTATAATGGTGCTTTTTGTGGATCTAGAGCGGTGAGGGCAGCCTAACTGTCCATCACGAGGGGAGCACATACGTGCACTGTGATGGAGATTCCCAAACAACACAGTGTTAGCAAGCATTTTGGTTCACAGTCTTCCAGACAGAACTTAAAACTAGTGTTAGATGTTGGAAGAGAATTCTAATAAATGCAGTCTCGTCATTTAAAATGTCATCACCCCCAAAGGCCACCATGTATTTTACAAAGATATGTGGTATTTGAATAGTACAAACTGTTCAACACTACTTGCAAGTGTTCAACACTTACTGAAAGGTTAATGGTTCATTATCTACCCAGAGGCACTAGAAGAGGGGTCTGGAGATCTGCTTCTGAAAGACCAAAGCATTGAACACCCTATAGAACACCGCTCTGCTTTGCAGATGTGGGGTCATCATGAGCTGAGGTTGACTAGACAACACCTAACAACCACAACATGCCTATTGAAGGACATCTAGCAAACTCATGAGGAGGGTGGGTGTTCAAAGGGAGTCATACTAACCTAATGATGGCACCTCTCTGGTAGTTTAGATCTACCAGCCACTCTTGTAGGAGAAAGATGGGAAATCTCTTCCATGAAAATCCACTGGAGGGTCAGCTATGAGTTGGTTCTTATGTAACAGCAGTGAGTTTGTTTTATGTAAGGGAGAGAGAGGAGGTAAGATCAGAGATGTAGGAGATAAAACAAAAGAAAGGGACTAAGAAACTCAAGCCTCCAGCATATGACAGACACACAGCTAGGCACAGGCTCATAGATTCACATCAGTTTCTTAAATGTTATCCCCATTTAATGAATAAGAAACTCAAGACAGAGTAGAAATGACTTGACCACAGAAGCAGTACCAAATGGAGCCTGACAGTGAGGATTTCAGTTCTTTTAAGTCTTAATTGTGTGATCTTGGATTAGTCATCTCCCCTCATTGAACCTTAGTTTCCCCATATGGAAAATGAGGCCATGATACCTTCCTCTGAAAATCATCCTGAGAAAGACATGAAATGTTGTGCATGCTGCCAGTCCATCACAGGTGTTCCACCAAAGTACCCAGGCCTATTCTGGGGGCAGGTGGAAGTGGGAAGTAAGGGACAAGGGTGAGGGGATATTCCTCAGTCCTCTTGATAGGTTTTGGCACAATTGCTAGGACTTCCTAGGCCCCCTGTCTCCTCATCTTTCTACTCTGGCCTCCTGCCCATGCCCTGACTATGACCTTTGCTTCCCCTCTGTCCCCTCCCAGCAAAGACAGGCAGTGCACTGGCGCCCGGACCCCGGAATCCTGGAACAAACTGGATCTAGTGAATCTTCTGAACACTGAGGTCTCCAACCCCATGGAATATGAGTTCAGCTTCCAGCTGGAGATCCGTGGACCTTGCTTGCTGGCAGGTGAGAGGGACCTGTCCTGTCCAGACCAGGGGCGGGTGCTGGAGAGAAGACTTGAGGATCCCAGGTGGGGAAACTAAAGACCAAAAGCTGCGAGGGGAGAGTGAAAAAGGCCAGGGCATAGGGAGCAAGGGAGTCACTGAGCCAGATGGAGGACAACTTGAAACAGAAAGCATTAGGACTCCTGCTTTTTTTAAAAAATTGTTATTATTTTTGTGTGTGTACCGTCAAATCGGATCTGACTGGTACTGGACGATATTGTCCCTCCTTCCCCGGCAGAGAATCTGGTGGATTCGAACCATGCACCTCTGGGATTGCAGTGCAGCTTCCTGCCACTAGGCCACCAGAGCTCCCCGGCTCCTTCTTTTTTTACTTACCCAACCGCAGCCTGGAGGATGAGTCCTCAGAGGAATAGTTTTCCTCTGAGTTTTACCCCAGTGGTTTCCTGGGGAAATTTCCATCAAGAAATGATGTCTTTTTGGACCTCTCCTGGAGATCAAAGTCCTAAAGCTGCTTCGTGTTTCTCTCCTTGTCCAGAGACCAAAAGAACCTGGGGAATTTTCTAAACATGAATGCCCAGAGATCACCCTGAGAGATTACAGTGAAATATCCTGGGATGTGTATGGGTATCAGAATATTCAAAAGCTCCCCAGGTGATTGCAATGTGCAGCCAGGACTGAGAACTGTAGCTATAATGATTCTCCTCCCCATCCCACTTAGGTTTTTAAAGGGCGCTAGGATTGTGGTTCCTTGCTGGTGTGTGCTCTCCTAAATCAATATTACACCCTAATGCAAGACTTCACCCCTACTGGATGCCAAGGAAGAGTCCTGGTGATGCAGTGGTTTAAGTGTTGAACTGCTAATTGACAGTTTAGTGGTTCAAACCTACCAGCTGCCCCATCACAAACAAGTAAAGCAATCTGCTTCCACAAATATCTCAACCATGGGAAACCCTGTATGGTAGTTCTCTGTCTGAAGGGCTCTTTTGAATCAGAATTGACACAGTGGCTGTGGTTTTGGTTTTGGTTTGAATCCAGAGGCCAGAACTGGAAGGAATATTAGATGCCACCTATTCAAGCTCACATTCCTTGGTGGCAACATGAGTTAAGCGCTGGGCTGCTAACCAAAACGTTGGTGGTTCAAACCCACCAGCTACCCTGTGGGAGAAAGATTGGATAGTCTGCTTCTGTTTCAGGTTTTATCTTTAGAAACCCTATGGACAGTTCTGCTTTGTCCTACTGGTCACTAAAAGTCAGAACTTGGGGAGCTCTGGTGGACTACTGACAAGAAGCTGCTCTGCAATCCCAGACTTATGCAGTTCAAATTCACCAGATGCTTTGCTGGAGGAGAGGCAATCTCCTCCTGTACCAGTCAAATCCGATTTGACAGTACACACACACACAAAAAAAAAATAAAATAAAATAAAGTCAGAGCTGACTCCGTGGTAATGAGCTTAATTTAAATATTTAACCCACATTTTTCACTTGGGGAAATTGAGGCCCAGAAAGAGGGGGGAAACTCATGGTCACACAGCAGGTTGGGATTCTGACAGGGCTGGAATGCCACTCATCATCCCTGGCCTGGTTGACAGTGTGCCTTTCCAAGCCCCTTCTTTTTGGGGATCCTGAATCTATCTTTGATTTTCTGTGCCACCCAGGAGTGGAAAGTCCCACCCATGAGATCCGCGCTGACGCCGCCCCCTCTGCTCGCTCAGCCAAGAGCATCATCATCACCTTGGCCAACAAGCACACCTTTGACCGGCCCGTGGAGATCCTCATCCATCCCAGTGGTAGGGGGAATAATGTGGGGGTCCTGGAATAACTGGGGGAGGACAGGGGCACCAGGTCTGTGGGAGACGGGACATGTGAGCCTTTGACCAGCATCTAACCAGGACTGCTGAACAGGAGGGAAATTCATTATTGCCTCCTCAGAAACTTGGCTCTAACTGGAAAAATTGAATGTTTTTTGCCCTCATTCTAACTCCAAAGACCCTAAGGTCTTATCTACCTACTGGAGCATTTGTCCTCTGGGGTAGCTCAATAAAAGATCATCAAAGCCCTGAGTGCATTGAGACCTTGTAGCTTCAGTGAGGAGTCCTTTTATCTTCTTTTTACAAGAATTCACAGACCATCAGGACCTTAAAGTTCATTTAGTCCAGTCCTTTCCCCATCCTATAGATGGGTAAGCTAAGACTCAGAGAGGGGCAGCCAATCACTCCCAGCTAAAGAGTCTTTCCATGACCCCAGACTTCTTTGTCTAGCCAGGGATGACACCCCCTCTTTCATATGGGAGTCCCATTACCTGGGAAGACCTTGCTCTAAACCCTGGCTCCTTGCATCTCTCCACCACCACTGAGTGTTGGTCTCCTCATCTCTGCAGAGCCCCACATGCCACATGTCCTCATGGAGAAAGGGGACATGACCCTAGGAGAGTATGAGCAACATTTGAAGGGAAGAACAGACTTCATAAAAGGGATGAAAAAGGACAGCAGTGCAGAGCGAAAGGTGAGGGAAACAAAACAGAGAGTGGGTGGTGGCGAGGCTGGGCTGGCACTGAGCATTTGGTTTTCCTGGAACCTGGAGGAGATTGAGACAAAGATGGAAGAGAGGACTTGTCCAGGTTCACCTGTAAAGCTGGTGGCAAATTCTGAACGAGAAGCGCTTTTCCCCCCCATATCTCTCTTCAGTGGGTTGAGACACTGGGACATACGTAAAGAATGGACTTCTCAATGTAACAGTCCCTGGACTCTGTCCTCTTGTCTCCATCTCCTGCCAGGTCACCTTTCACTAGATCCATCTTCAAGCCCAAGTTGTTGTCAGGTCCTATTGAGCTTGTCTCTTACTCATGGAGACCTCTTGCACAACAGAATAAAATACTATCTGATCCTGTATCATCTCTGTGATTTGTTAGGGATCAGACTGACCCATATGGTTTTCAGTGGCTGATTTGGGGAATTAGGTCACCAGGCCTTTCTTTCTAGTCTCTTAGTCTGAAAACTTTGCTGAAATCTGGTTAACAGCATAACACACAAACCACTACTATACAGGCAGGTGGTAGCTGTATTTCAAGTCCATAGCTGGTATTTGAACTCCAATCTTCCTCAAGGAAGGCAAGAAGTCAGTCTACCATTGAACCACTCTAGTCCAGGTGAAATCGAAGACTAATGGCAGAAGCAACTTGAATCTTCTCCATTCTACTCCAACCCAAGGATACTATAGCTGGGTACCCTCTCAGTCCCATCTTTAATTCCTAGGCCTCCCTCTTTTCACCTTCTAAGAGACCCCTTTGTTTTGCCAACTGTGTGGCCCTTGCTCTGTGTACAGAATAAAGGCAAAGCAAGAAAAGGTGGAGAAAGCTCCTTTCCCTCTGTACTCCCCTGCCTCCACCCCGTGGAGCTGAGGGCTGAGAAGACTCTAGCACTGGAGGCTGGAGATAGGAAGCTGAGAGGCAGGCACAGGTACAGCCGGCAACTTTTGCTCATGGCCCTGCACATCTTGCCAATCCCTGAGGCCAAGATGGGTCAGAGGATGATGACTGTTTATTGGCCCTCCAATAAAGATTCTGATGCAGACTCTGAAATCTGACATCCATAAATAACTAATGAGCTAGAAGCAGGAGAGGATTGGTATCTTGCACTGGGTTTGGTGACAATGAGGCGAAGCAATTCAAATAGGCCATGTGGTGGCAGTTAAGCTGAGTTTACAGGCCCTGCCATCTCCTGCTGGACCAGCTGGTGGAGGGGGATGGTGAGGTGGGAAGTGGGTGGGGAATAATAGCTGTATCAGTGCAAATGTCACCCCCCTATTAAAGATATCCCTGCAATCACCTATCTTCCCAGAAGTGGTCTCTCACCCAAATGAGTGGACTGGGAGAAGAGACTGGAGCCAGGTGCACAGAGTGGGGGTGGCAATGCCAAGAGTGTCACTGAGTTTGAAAACTGCAGAATGTAGCGGGGGTGGTGGTGGGGACGACAAAGGGAAACACAATGTGCCTCCCAAGCCTGGGGTGGCTGCCCTGCCTGCTGCGCATTAAATCAATTAGCTCTGGGGCCGCTGAAGCAAATGAGAATTAATTTGCCACCTTGGGTTGCTTATGCAAATGACGTGTATTCTCACAAGCTCCAGGGATGACAGCGATCAACCCGCAGCTGTGGAGAAGTGATGAGTTTATTGTAATTGGATAATGGCAGCTTGAGAGGAGACATTAGAGGCAGCAGAGCCAGGCACCCCTCCCCTCTGAACGGCAGAAAGCAGGTTCTCAGAGGTGGCTCCTCTCCCTGGCAGATGGGGCTGTGGCTGCCCCAGGTTCTCTATCAAAAGAGCCAGACTGGGCAGTGGCCTGTGGCAACGGGGATCCATGCAGGAGGGAGATAGGGGTAGAGTGGGGACATCCAGAGGACAAGCATCAATCAGGAGGAGTGGATGGGTAGGGCAAGCTGTCAAAAATCATTATTCAGCAAAGACAGAACGAATGATACAGGGAGGAACACCATGTATGTACATGAAAAAGAGACCACAGAGTGAGAGCAAGATCAGAAATACCCACAAAGGAGCACACATAATTCACCCAGTTTTATTCATTCAATGAACACCAAGTATGCTCTGTTCTAAGCATTGGAGTTAAAGCACGGGAAATGATACATTCCTTGTCTTCATGGAGTGTACAGTCTAGAATGGACAGACAGGCGAGCCATAAACAAATGAAGAAGATCAGGTGGAAAAGGGATGAAGAGCATGTAAAAGCAAAACAGGGGAATAGCATAATGAGAGCTAGGAAGAAAGCCTGTCTGAGGAGGAGAGCTGGCAGATGGCACAGAACCCGCCATAAGAAGAGCGAATAGCAAGTACCATATGTGTGCAAGGACAGAGGAGCAGGACAGTGGTGACCTATCAGAGAAACACAAAGGAGGCTTCTGTGTTTTAGACCCAAGGAGCAGGTGGGGCAACGATGAGATTGGCAAGCTGGCAGCAACCAGACCACGTAGGTCTTTGTAAACCATGGTGCAGAGCATAAGCTTGCAGAGCAAGAAAATCACAAGATAGATTGCTCTGACTGGCAATTAAAAGGTGAAAGAAGAGGCTGGTAACAGTCCACTGCAAAAGTCCAAGCAAGAGATGACACTGCCCTGAGCTTGGTGCTGGCAGTACAGGCAGGGAGGAGGAAACAACTTTGAGATGTTTTAGATGTAGAATTGACAATTCTTTGCTAAAAGATTAAATGAGGTCGACGGAAAAGAATCAAATGAAATTCCAATGGGATTTTGTTTGAACAGCTTGGTGGATGATGATGTCTTCTATTGAGATGAGGAAAAGACTCAAATAGACAGAAACTGAGAAATGGTCACAAAGAAATATATGTACACACAGAGACAGACAGATGAAGAGTCAGAGTGGAGAGAGGAGTGGTGAGGATGGTGGAAATGAAATTTAAAACGGAGGAAGAGGGTCAAATTAATCATCAGAGTGTCAGGGCCAGCCAAGAGGCCACACAAAAACGATAAGGAACTAAGTTAGTGCCCTTCTTTTAATATTCTCTGCATTCTTCTCTATACCAGATTCTATGTTAAGCCCAACCAAACCCATTACCATCGAATCTATTCTAGTTCACAGCATCCCTATAGAACTGTCCCATGGGTTTCTTAGTCTGTGTTTTTGGAAGCAAGCTGTCATATTGTTCTGCCTTGCATCAGTTGGTATGTTGAGTTTGGACTACCAACTTTTCTGTTAGTAGCTGAGTCCTTAAGCACTATATTACCAAGACTGTCAACCCTATTTAAACCAGGAAATGCAGAAGATTAGGTATGGCCTAGTGAGAGGAGAGACAAAGATAAAAGCAAAAGTCTGCAAGAAAGCATGAGAAGGAATGGGCCCTAGAACAAACAACAATAATGGCAACAGATATCATGATAGATACTGTTTAGAGACAGTTATTTTTTCTGGCAGCAGAGACCTCCATAAGCATCACATATAATTCCCAAAACAGCACTATGAGGTCTATACTCTTACACTCCTTCGTAAGTGGAGAAATGACACTATTAAGTCCACTTAGAAGATTAGGGGGTATTAGTTATCTAACTGAAAGGTCAGCTTATCAAACCCACCAGCTACTCCAGTGGAGAAAGATGAATAGTCTCCTTCTATTAAGATGTGGAGCCTTAGGAACCCTATGAGTCAGCATCAACTCTACAGTTGTGGGTTGGGTTTGGGGTTTTGGAAGATAAGAGTAAGTTTTACAAACAGGTAAAGTTGAAGAACAAGTAGGGATTTATCAGTGGGAAAGAATGAATAAAACAGGAAAGCAAAACTCCCAGCCATGGTGAACCAAAGTGGCTCCCACACTGAGTCACTTGGGTTCATCTTCACACTGAAATAGATGGAGGCCCTAGGTAGTGCTAACAGTTAATGCATTTGGCTGCGAATAAAAGGTTGGAGATTCAAGGTCTACTTCTGAAAAATCAGCCATTAAAAAAATCCTTGGAACACGATACACACTGACACATATGGGGTAACCATGAGTAGGAATCAAGTGATGGCAACTGGTCTTGGCTGATGAAAAGTAAAAAGAACACTAATTAACCAAGGACCTGCAGGTGTGCCGGGGGCTTTTTTTTAGGTGTTAACTGTGTTCATCCTCACAATCTCCATAAGAAGTAAATGGAAACAGATCAAAAGAGGGATTTGCCCCAGATCAAATCACTAAATAGTGAAAGAGCTGAGATTTAAACTCAGATCTTTCTTCCTCCAAATCTCATGTCTTCCATTGCATTCTGAACCTCTAGTAAGTGTGGCAGTAAGAAACAGATAGCTGGAAGTCTTTCACATAGAGTATGAGTGTTGGTGGTGGTGTTATGTGTGGTCCAGTCGACTATTATTCATGGCAACCCTGTGGACAACAGATGGAATCCATGCCCTATCCTACGCCATCCTCAGAATCTCCACTATGCTCAGGTCCATCATTGCAGGCATTGTGTTTGTTACTATTTGATGAGTCACAGGGTCTCAGGAATGTCTTTGGATCCTTTGATTTCCCAAGTGAGAGGATGTCTCATTCTCTTCCAGACAGAAATCATCAGGAAACGTCTCCACAAGGACATTCCCCATCACTCTGTCATCATGCTCAACTTCTGTCCTGACCTCCAGTCAGTTCAGTCAAACCTGAGAAAGACCCATGGGGAGTTCATCTTCCTCATTGACAGGAGCGGCAGCATGAGTGGGATCAATATCCTCCGTGTCAAGGTACCTGGTGAGAGGGTCCTGCAGTAGATCCCTGTTGGTGGTGGTCACTATTGAGCCAGTTCCAATCCACAGTAATTTTAGTGTTGTTGGGTGCTGTGGAGTCAGCTCCAACTCATAATGAACACATGACAGAACAATACCCTGCCCTGATCCTATGTCATCTTGACAATTTCTGTTGTGCTTACGCCCTGTCACTGTGTCAATCCATCTCACTGAGAGTCTTCTTCTCTTTTGCTGATCTTCTACTTTGCTAAGCACAATATACTTCTGTAGGGAATTTAGGTACAACAGAAATTTAGATGGGGGGGGAAAAGTAGGTGCATTGCCTGATTCTGCATGATCCTCACAAATGCTAGACTGTGCACCTTTGCAAATGTTGCACATAAGTAGTAGTTCCCTCTGGCTGCTTTAACAAGGCACCACAAAGTTCTTGTTGTTAGGTGTCATCAAGTTGAGTATGACTCATAGCAACCCTATGAATAACTATCCTGAAACCTGCCCTATCATGTGCAATTCTCACCATATTTGAGACACTAAAGGTCATTGCTGAAATTACAGTGGCAATCCATCTCACTGGGGTCTTCCTCTCCTTAACTGACTCTCCAACTTTCCAAGGAATAGCCTCACCTAGATGCATGGCCAAAGTATGAAAGACAAAGCTTCGTCATCCTTGCCTCCAAGGAGAACTCTGGCTGCACCCTTTCTAGGACATATCTGTTTGTTCTTTGGCAGTCCATGAGATATTCACTACTCTTCTCCAGACCGTAACTCAGAGGCATCAATTTTTCTTCCCTAATTTTCTTGATCAGTTAATGCCCATCTTGCCAGAATTCCATCAGCTTTATTAACAATCACACTTTCAAGGCAAAACATTCAGTCCCAAGCCTGTGTCAGCCCAAGAAACAACATCCGTATACAAGATATAGAGGAGACCTAACCTCACCTTGGAAATTATTGCATTGTGCTATCAGTGTGGTACAAAAGGAAGAGCAGAGACCCTAAGGCACAAAATTATATCTGTGCATCATAAGTTCAGGGGCAAGAACCCTTCCCCAGTACTGCCTCAAGCAAAAATAATTTCCTGAAGCTGGTATATGGAATTTGGACTAACATTCTCCTAAACATAAGATAGGCATGTGACTTCATCCATAGCCACTGGTGAGAGTCAGCGCCCAGAGCCATCAGGGGCTTTAAGCTCGTTGCCCACTGCTGTGGTGTGGACAGCTGAAACCCAGGCCCCGACAGGCCCCTGGGGGGGGGGGAACCCAGACTCTACT